GAAGCAGTTAGTCATTGCTGCATCCACCATGGAGGCTGAGTTTGTGGCATGCTTTGAGGCCACAGTTCAGGCCAACTGGTTGCGAAATTTTATTTCAGGACTTGGAGTAGTTGACAGTATTGCCAAGCCGCTGAAAATTTATTGTGATAATTCCACAGCTGTCTTCTTTTCTAAAAACGACAAGTATTCCAAAGGTGCTAAGCATATGGAATTGAAATACTTTGCCGTTAAAGAAGAAGTTCAGAAACATAGAGTGTCAATAGAACATATTAGCACTAATCTCATGATTGCTGACCCTTTAACAAAAGGGTTACCGCCCAAAGTATTTACTGGCCATATAGAGAATATGGGCATTATGTCTACTAGTGAATGTTAAATGTTAATGTTGTCTTTAATGCCTATTTGACACTGAGCTCATTAATGTACAAGTTTCTGAAATTTATGTTTTCTACTTTATGTACATACATGCAAATTATGATGTGGAAAACTAATTATGTTATTGTTAATGAAAATGACTTTATGTTTGAACCCATTATGGACTTCTCAGTTTAAAGTCATGTTAAGGAAAAGGGTAATATAGTAGTACATGGAAGGGAATATGTTGATTGAATGACATGTAACCGCCATGACTCTTATTATTTCTGTATCTTTAATTATGATTAATGACGGAACTAATTTATTTAAAGTTTTAATGCGCATCATGATTTATGTAATTGTTAAATCATGAAATGTTATGGCATCACATGAGTCAAGTGGGAGAATGTTAGAAAAAAATAAATAAATTAATAAATTGATAAATAAATTAATAAATTAATTAGTGTGACTCATGTGAAATATAATTATGGATAAAGGGCCTATTGGTAATTGATTATTATTATGGGAAGTTACAACTGAAAGAAACCAACTTGATGGAAGTGGATCTAATAGAATAAGGGTTCTATCTCTGCCAATAATATAAAAAGTAACTCACTGTTAACCATCGAACGTGAGAAAGAACGAAAGGGCAAAGAGATAGATTGAGAAAGGAGATTTAAGAATTACTCTCATCAGATTTCATGGATAAAGGTTAGTGTCTCTTGCTATTTCAACGTGCATGTGAGAATTATAAATTCTATGATCCTTATAAAGAAAAGTAACACACCCTTCATGTTCAAAACCCCCACGAAGGCTCAAAAACTCTCTCTCCCTACCCACATTTCCATGCATTTGTGATCCATGAAGGTGAGTAGTGCTGTGCTGTGCTGTGCTGTGTTCGCTTAACATAACAAGCTTTACTTACACGGTCGACTGAATATCACATCATGAGCTCCTAACACAACACATCACCACCACCATCGACTTGGATCACAAGTCCAAGAAAAAATTATGGAGATGCAACGCATGAAGGAGTTGTTGTTACTTTGGTCATCACCGGGAACAAAGAGAGCCTCCCTTGTGGGTGGAAATCACACTGCTGCCAGATTTTGCACTCGCTAATAACTTCTCTCCTTGTCGATCTCTTCTCTATAATCTCTGCTATATTCTTCTTTTACATACATTACTACTCGATCTCTTTTGAATCTTCTTTCATCAACATTTCAACTTATTCATCATCTTCTATTTTAATTTATCTTATTTCCTTCTCTTGAATTGGAACCCCCTACATGTACCCATATGACAGTGGACTTAGCTATTGCTTCCTTTGGATCCAAATATTATTATTATCATTATCACAGCAAGAAAAAGAAGCCCTTGTTACCTGCTAAAATTACTCCACTACTTGCTTTGAAACCACAAGTCAATTATTCTGTCATTAGGTTCCCTAATTCCAAAATGTGGAAAATTTTCTATGTTTTGTTGCTTTTGGCTTTGGTTGTAGCTTCCTTTCCATTGATAAGTTCGTCCTTTGTTGCGAGAGAATCAACCTCAACTCCCCAACAAGAAGCACAAACCGATTATGTTAATCACATCAACTCTAATTCCATCAACAAGGACCAGCTTGTAACAATTCTCTTCCGAGACCTAACCAACGAGGGTCTCATGAAGAAAACACAACAACCTCTCAAAGTTGTTTTTATGAATGAAGAAGAAAAAGAAGGGTTTCAATATGAAGTTGTCAATGACTACAACATGGATAAGATCCCCTTAAACGATTTAGAGAAACAGAACTCCATAACTTCCCTATATCATCTCAATTCATTGAAAGGACCCTAAAAATTGGTGGTCTTGTAACCATTCTTCTCAACGACAACCCTTCCTTGTCGTTTTACAAGCCCTCAAACTACAACATCAAATACATGAGGCGGTTTCATTATACGATAGCCATGGTCATGAAAAAAACCAATCATTGAACCAATAATTGAACCAAAGATCGGAACACATAGAAAGCTATGTGGGTATGTCCCAGAAGCAAAAAAAGTTGCATTGCAAAAGCTAGAAGATGTGCTTCTTAAGCCACCACGAGCAGCTTCGGGAAAATCAAGAGCGTACTTGAAGCGCACAAGATACTTACCTGATATGATGGGTGATTCTCTAGAGAGTTACCCTCGTCGTGTTTTCATCGATGTTGGATTGGCAGAGAAGGATGGAGGGAGTGGAACTCACTGGTTTTAAAAGAATTACCCAACAAGGAACAAGAATTTTGAGATGTATAAGATAGAGACAGTGATGGAAGGTGGTTCACAAATAGAGATGTCTGATTGGTTGAGGAAGAATGTGAGAGAGGAAGAGTATGTAGTGATGAAAGCTGAGGCTGAGGTGGTGGAGGAGATGATGAGAAGAAAGGCCATGATGTTGGTGGATGAGCTTTTCTTGGAGTGCAAGCCACAACGTGTGAAGCAAGGGAATAGGAGGAGTAGAAGGGCTTATTGGGAGTGTTTGGCTTTGTATGGAAAGTTGAGAGATGAAGGTGTAGCGGTGCATCAGTGGTGGGGTTGATAATTAATTGATTTTAGTTTTGTAGAATTGAAGCATGAAGAAGAGGGTGTGTTGGATTTGTGTTTGGTAGAGAATGGTGTAGATGAAGATATATAGAGGCTTAATGTGTTCAGGGTGAAGAGAGTTAGAGAGACTCCAAAGTGGAGGTGAAGAGAGTTTTAGTTTATTTTCCCTTTTGTCGCGTTTACATTTATTCCTTTTTTTTTTTATGGATTGTGTTTTAAATTGTTTGGATGTTTCTTTGTCAATTTTGTGGATGTTTTTGCAAGTTGTACTTCATGCGGAGATTATGGAAACAATGAACATCACGAAATATACAAAACGAAAAAATGCTACAGCTTTCTTCTTTTCTTTTATGATTATTATCACAATTTGGATTATAGTATGATTATCTATATTATATAAAACATAGACATTGAAAAGCTTCCATTTCTTTTATCTAATTCTTATTTTATTTTCATGAAAGGGGCAAAATTGAGACATTTTGCCAAGAGTGGGTTTTCTCTAACATTTTGTAATTTTATGAAACATTGAATCAGTTTCAAATTTTTGCGGAGGTGTTGTTAAAATATATTAAGAACCGATTGGAAGATAAATTTATGAAAATAATTTATAATTTTTTTAAATTTATTTCAATAAATTTTGTATTTAAAGTTATAGCATGATTCGTCACGCATGAAATTATTAAATAAATATTTGATTAAGAAGTATATTCAATGCTTCCTATAACTTATTTAATCAATTAATATCCTATAAATCTAAAACAAGAATATTAGTTTTGAAATCTTTTTATTAAGCACGAGTTTTCTTTATGTAATGAACTTGATCAATTCAATTAAAAATTAATAGGTTAATTTGGATAGATGAACCTGTTTGAGTAATAATATTGAATCAGGATGGACCGTGGGTTTATAATGTTAAAATTCAATGCAACTTAATAGATTCAATAATTTATTACATGAGTTTTTTCTCTGTTATCCTTACACAATTTTGATTATTCTTCATTTTGTTTGAAATGAAGAATTAAAAATTGATAAGTGATTTGATATTTTAATTTTTAAATATTGTGTATTGTTTTAAGTATATATAAGATGAATATTAAACTTTATACTTTATGTTTTATAAGAAAGTGTTGAAGTTTAATTTTTTAAGATGAATATTAAATTGTATGTTTTAAAATGCATGACTTCTTATTCTAAATTTATTATTTGAAAGGTTAGAATTGGACCATCTAATCATATATGCATAATCTTAATTTTTTTTATACATTGCTATAAATGTTAATGTGACTACCTAACTCAATCCATCTGTAGTTGGGTCGTCACTTCAAATTGGGTGAAAATTTTATTTTTCAAAAATAATTCAACCTAACCCATAATTTTATTTTATTTTTATCAATTTGAGTATTTTTTTACTCCACCCATGAAGACCTTTACTTTTAATATGAGTTGTGTGTGAAGCATTCTTCCAAGAGTAACATTATATCTCCTCCAATCTGTACAAGTCCAAAAAAATGTTTGAATTACTCATTGTTGATCAGGCAAGGAGAGATATATACCTATGGTTCCTTTCTTTACTTTCATGCCATTTTCGCAATAATTTAGGGACGGCATGCATTTTTCAGTTTCTGAAACCTCAATCTCGAATCACGCATAGCTATTCTTTAATGAAAAATGTTGTCTACCATTAAGAATAGACCACTGATTAAAGATGTCTCATTTAAAGATTTTTTTGTCATGTATATATACAAGAGACGAAATTTTAAAGGAAAAAAAAACAATTTACTATATTACATGCAGTATTGATTTTTAATAATTGAAAGAATCAAAATCTTTAATTTATTTTGTCATTTATGATTTACTTCGACGATGCTAGGCAAAAAAATATCAAAACAACAAACACACGAAATAAGAGCACGTTTATTTCGAGAATCTTCCAAAGCCAAAAGACCTCCACAGCACTTAACCCTAACAAGGCTTTATTCACCACACCTAATCCTCGCACGCAAGAACAAGATCCAAAAACCAAAAGAACCTAAGACACAAACAAACAAACGCACCTACCATTACCAAGATAGTAGCTAGTTAGTTACAAAGCTCACGAGCGATGCCAACCTTATTATTAACGGTATCAAACAAAATCCTAAGGTTCTGTTGCTGCAAGTTGGCAACCACATTAAGCACTGAGTTCACATTATTGGGTGTTGCCGCCATGGCCAAGCAAGCCAACGACCCAGAACTACTATGTATGAGACTATTCTCAAACGGCAAAGTTAGATCCAAACCCGTGAAGTGAAATTTTATCAACGGTGCCAACCTCTCATAGTTCTTCACAAAACACGTGTCAAATGCTCCGATGCTACTGAATGGCCCTTTCACTTGTTTCCTAAACTCGTCCCTGATTGCATTGTAAACCGGTTCCACGAACCGGGTTATAACCGTACCCGAATCTATTATGGTTCCGGATCCAGTGTATGGGTTAAACGCTAGAAGCTCGCTGGGTAGAGCGACCCGGACCCGGCCTACGGTTACTCCGGTGAGGTTCACGAAGTACAGAGAGGGGCGGCGCGTGTTTCGGAGAAGTGGGGTGGTTCGGATTCGTCTGGGTTGACCCGTGGGCCCGAGTTTGAGGGACCCGGAAAAGTAGTAGGACTTGAAACTCGGGAGACAGTAGGAGAAGACGCCGGAGGAGAGTGATGAGGCTTGTGAAAGTAGCGATAAAGGCCCGCGGCCCAAGCCCAGTAGCCCTTGGGCCGGGATTGACCCACCGGAGGCGGAGTTGATGCACCCGAAAGCGTAGTTTGGGATGGTGTCAACGGCCAACCTGAGCGAGTCTTGCACTAGCGTGGCGGAGAATGAGGACCCTGCGTTACAAGAAACGTGTAAGGAAAAGGTATAAGGTAAACAAATTACAATCTAAATATAAAAAAATAAAAATAAAATCCTGTCTTTTTAACATTCTTTTCAATTTAATTCGGAAACTTATGTGAGTTCTAGCTTCTGCTAAATTCAGGATCACTTTGAGTCTTAGTTATTATTTACTAAAAAGTTATATAAATTAAGTCTTACTCATTGAAAAGTAACTTTAATATTAATATTTTTTACTTTTTATCCTATTGTTTATTACATCTTTATTTTTTTTTTCTTTTTACATAATTCACACTCCATAAATGGAATGTGAGGGTTTAATTTTTTTTATTAAAGAATTAATAAATAACTTTTGAAAATATTAAGATTAGATGTGATATTAGTTAAGGAAAAAAGATTATATGCACCTGCTTAGTGTATTTGCCTAAAGAGACAGAGATAAAAAAAAACAGAGAGAACAATAAATTTAACAAGAGATGTGATGAAAAAATTAAAAATAATAACAAGTGTTAAATATGTATTAAAATTTTTAAAGTATTTATAAATCATCATTAACTAATTAAATATTATACTTTCTTATAACAAGTTTTCCCTGTTGATTAACCGATTAGAATTTTTGCTTAATTCTCATTGGGTAACAATGTATCAGTATTTAGAAATATGTTGTTGAAGAAAATTTGAGTGAAGAGCCTTTCTGAATGACCAGCATAGGATTGGTTGAAGGAGCAAGCAGTGGAACCGGTGGAGGGACAAGGGAGGGCGCCACGGACTTGGGTGCAGCGTGGGGCGAAGCAAGCTATTGATCCACCGAAAGTGGTGGAGGCTCTTGGGTTATAGGCGGTGGTGGATGGGCAACCGGAACAGCCGGTGCATGGGACCCAGGCCTCATCAGTGCTGGTGTCTAGGACCATGAACATGAGTTGACCCGGTGTGCCGAGTCTAACTCGGACGACGTAGTTGCCGATGTTGAAGGCCTGACCAGAAGCGATTGGGGCTGCGGAAACGCGCTTTTTGCTCCGTTTGGCGACGAGGGTGGATAAGTATTGGAGCCTCTCTGGGTCTTTGGAGGCCATGTTGATGATTGTGTTTTCCCACGTTATGGGGTTGGGATTGGAGTTGAAAGGTGAACACTTGCCGTAGATGGGAATCAACGTCACGTCTGAATCGTCGGGTTGAGACGCGCATGGATCATCGTAGGCATGGGTTATTGTGGAGAGGTTAATTACTATTAAGAAGATGATGGTGGTGGTGAAGTGCTTCACACCCATTGTTTGTCTCTGTGGTGAGTGAAGTTAGTATCCAAGTGATAGATAGGGTGCATGCATGGGGCGAGTCCTTTAATACTAGAGTTACAAATTTTGGTATCATTTTAGCCCGTGTATACACATTTTATATATTATTATTGTTTTAATTATTTAAATAATAGAATTATATGTTTGTTTATCTGACTTTTTTTGTTAAATAATAAAATGTAATCTTTTAAATTATAACTATATTAAGAAAAATGTTTCCCAATGCAAGAGAGGAGTTTGTATGGTATTGTTAAAATTGTTTTGTTTAATGATATTTCTAAATTTAAGGGTTACGAATGCATTAAGATGTTTCTCTTCTATAATACTACTAAATATCTAGTCCATCAATTATTAGGCATTATTATTTTTCACTATTTGTACAGTTTCAATTATTAAATTAAAATATTATATTTTCTAAGGCAGACTACGGTACCTCTGATTTTTAATGGATTTTAGTACCATTTTAAATGAATTAATTATTAAATGACGTGTGTTATTTGTTTAGCCATTTCATAATTATGTGGAATATATAAATTTAATTAAAATATTAAACTATGTGTTATTATAATTGTTTATAAGGGTTTAGAGACTGTTTATAATTTTTTAAACTTAGAAAGCAAACAGTACGAGAATAATTAGATAAAGTCTTTCCAATATGAAATTATCCGAAGTCGTATTGAATCTTAAGCACTTATTGTTATTCTCGTTTTCCATTGCATTTGTATCGAGGGTTTCCCTAAACTGAATCTAGACCCCTTCTCTGTTGCATCTTTCTATAGGTTGAAGTGTGAAACATCCTAAAATTGATTTGAGCCCTAGAACCTTTTTATGTTTCCCTTTCTGCATTGTGTCTATTCTCTTCAATACACTACAACCATTAATTATAGACTTTTCATTTTATGCAACAAAGGTCGTGCTTAATCTTTTTAAGAATTAACTACGGGTTACTTAATAATTGACCAAGATCATTAAAATGTTGATGATTTCAGACCATTCCATAATTTTCCGTGCCTAATTAAAAGTTTCTTTTGAAATTGAAAATGTGTATTTGAGGTTGCAAATACAACTGTATGAAAAGAATATGTGGATGGATGAGAATTAGACAAGAGTAAGATGCATGCAATAATTTGATGGATGAGTTAATTTGTAGGGAGGATTAATAAATGAACATTTCTTCATATTTTGTCCTTAGATGGACGTGCATGAGATGTGGATGTGGTCGGTCACGGGAATCCCATTCAACACTTTCATTCATTTATTTGCTTAAAATCCATGCATGCATGGACCCACTCAATTCCCAGCTCCTTATGAGTCAACATGTTTTCAGGTTCACTAACCTTCCATTAGGGTAAAAAGGGTGAATCGAGTTAAGTTTTGTAAGATTTAAATTTAATTTAATTCTTAAATTAAATTATTATTTTTATATAGATTATTTTTTAATGTCTTTCTTGACTTTTTAAAATTCTGACTAAACTTATAAAATTTAAAAGCTTATTTTGTAATTAATTTTTTTAAATATATACAAGCTTTACTTTTAAAATTAAATTAATGGACTTAAACTTATATCTAAATTAATGAGTTTAACAATAAATATGTACTTTTAATATATTACAATAAAAATAAAAATATCTATATTTATATAAATAAGTTTTAATTTATTAAATTTAAAAGACATGTTAATAGTCTGAAGCCTTGCCTTTTTTTAACTAAGTACGCTTTTAAAAGAAGTCTTAACTTGACCTATATTAAATAAATAAGGCTTGCCTAATTTAGGTCTAGTGTAGATTAAATCAAGGTCTCCACTAAATGGGAGAAACAAATAATTATAAATTATTTCCATTTGTTTGCAATAGAACAGCAATGCATGTTGATATTTTTAGCTCTAGTTGTTCTTCTAATCCCTTCTTGATAACTTCTTCGTGCCAAAGATTGTGTGTAATGTAGTAATTGTTACTTTTCATTAATTGATCTTTGAATATATTTTTTAAAATTATTAATTAGATTAATAAAAAATATATATTAATAATAAAATTTAACTGAACAGCAACAACATTGAGCCTTCCTCAAATTGTAAATAAAATAAGTTTTCCATGTGATGTCCTTTATTTCTTTTTGGAAATTAGTGTTGTCCTTTTTAACGGTCGATTGTCATGCTTCCGGGTTCAATGAAGCGTAGCCAAAGCTGGAGTTTGGAATCCAAGGTAAGAAAGGTTTTATATTCTTTAGTCTAACGTTGTGTAAAATTAATGTTAATTTTGAATCATTAAATTAATTGAAATGTGTGCATAATTAATTTAAAACAATTAAATAGTATAATTGAATATACACACATATATATATATATATATATATATATATATATATTAAATTACACATTTTTTTTCTAAAAGTGTGTATTTTAAAGTACAAAAATAAATTTTCTAAATGTAAACGAAACAATTAAGCCAACACAAACCAAACATGCATGAACTTCCCACAAGTTACTCTTGGAGTTCCCCGAATGGGGCCATCCTAGATTCACGAGACATTACATTCCACAGTCCGTATTATAAAGCCCTCGTCTCTTATATATTTTTATTTTAGTTGAAAAATTGAAAGGAAAGACATATTTTGTCATGATAAATGTTGTTCCTCCCCCCCCCCCCCCTTTTCTATTCATAAATTAAGAAAATCTTAATTGATGCAGTACGTGATAAGGTTTTGATTAAAATGCCTCCATTAATTTACTGTTAAGAGACTAGGGAAAAAAATAATGAGAATATGAAGTGATTAATCAAATTGAAATTTTATAATCATTAAATAAGGGTACAAGTAAATAAAATAAATAAATAAGTCTTAAGAATTAACCTAATTTTTAAAACAAAACTAAAATGTTAAAACAATAAAACGTAAGGATCAGAGAAAAGAGAATACTAACCTAAAAGAAAATTTTATTATACTTGTGGTATAACTTGATTTTCAGCTGTGATCTTCGAGATTTAACAGCATTATATATTAATGATGATGATGAAGAAAAGGAAAGAGAAAGAGAAAATTAACTTAACTTTTTATCTGGTAAACGGAGGTTGCACACTCTTTTATTTATTTGAAGAAGTATAAAAACTTAACCATTCAGAATCAATTAATATTAATGTAAATCAAGTTATTAATGGATTGAACATTTCTTATTATAAGTCTCTACATAATTGAAATGTATAGTGTATTAAAAAGAAATTATTATTATTATTATTATTAATTTCCATATTAATGGCAATCAAGTGACTTAGGAATATTTTCAATAAGGAAAAATTTGTGTGCGAAAATGTGATAATGTCTGTTAGATTGAATTAACGTGAAATGTTAGGCAATACTTCAAGTTTAAGAAATGAAATTATCTTCAACTTTATGAACTTGAGATGAGAATTTACAACATACAGTATATCTTTATAATTATTATAGTTTCATGATAAAATGTTGCTCATTAATGTTTTAAAAAATTTTGTTACCATATGAATCTTGTTATCCAACTAATCAAACACAAAATAAATGATTATAAGAATTAAAGCATCTCTAATTGCTAATTATTCAGTTTCATTCATAACTAGCTGATGAGACACATAATTCTTAACTGACAAAATTACATTTTATTTGAGAGGGTCAATAAAAATCTGAGGTGCAAGAAGCAAATCTTTGTTCTGCTTTGCTACAAAATTAACTTTAAATTCAAATCCACTAAAACTTTGCTTTATTATAAATGTGATAGTTAGGATCAGTAAATTACTTCAATAACTAAAGGGAGGATCATACTGATCCAAGTTATTGTCGATATCAAACAAATAATGAATCCATTTTTCTTTTTCAAGAGGCAAACATAGGCGTCGATTTAGGAGTGATCAGCGGAGGAGTTGATTTGAATCTAATGGTGGAATGTGGCTGAGTGGTATGGCGAATGATGGTGGCGCAATGACATAACCAAAATTAAATTTTCTTGTAGTTTCCTTGCCTAATTTGTGTTGTTCAATGGTGATTGTGTCCTCTAACCTAACAACCTGATAGTATGAGCTATTCCTTGATTTGTTGGTAATAAAAATTGGTGTATGATATGTACTTTGTAACTATCCTTTTATTATTATTATTTTTACTAAGTGCACATTTTTCTTTTGTTCCTGGCATTCTCTTCTATACTTGTCCTTAGAATAGGCATTGAAGTGAAAATTTGACCTAACTCAAAATGCAACCATCATCCTCAAGCATTTTGAATTTAGGATTTTTTTTTCCTTCCTTCCTCATCATCATTTTCAATAAGACTATCTAACTATTCTACACTTTATAATATCACCAAATGTAGGTGGCTCAATTTTTTTGAAGATAAAAACTACTCTCACAGCACCTTTTATACATTCATCTACAACTCTTTCAACATTTATTATGTGATCAGACATAACATTTTTCCAATCCCAATTTTAATCATAGTCAATGTTATTTGCTACGATCATGGTTCTCATTTTTCTTTATTATGTGAACAATTTTATTTTATGTTTTGTAAATGTTCACACAAAAATTATGTTTCAAAGGATTCAATCACATCATAGAAGTTCAAAATATCTTATTAAGGACAAACATCATGGGAGTTTAAAATACCTTATTGAGGACAAACGTAATAGTGACAACCACATCTCTATAAGTATTTACATAAATATTCTTACTAAAAATTCTTATCATCACTATATTAGTAGATAAAGGAGAAAGTATTTTAATACATAATAGAGTTTAGCATTTAATGTTATATTTATAAAAAGATATATATAATAAACGTTAATCAGTAATTGAGCTTATTCCTTATTAGTCCGACTCGATTAAGTGATTGTTCCAATTTAATTATAATTAAACTTTGTTAGTGATTTATTCTTTATGTGTAATCTTATAGATTTTTCTAATATTTAATTATAATATTAAATATAAATGTTATACCATAAATATTGAACTGACATATAACATCATTAATACTCAAATATAAAAAATATGATAAAATTGAGATAACTTAATTTTGTGATAATACATTACACCACTAAGCATGACTATTCATTTAATAGTCTGATTCTATCGTAATGTCCATTGATAGCACTTTTGATACATGAGATAAATTAATCATATCTAAATGACTCAATTTCTTTAAATGATTTATTTTATTTTCACCTTTATGACCTTGAACCATTTGTGTATCTCTTCTTGTTAGAAAGTTAATCAACTACCGCCAATGCACTCTAAATTTCTTTCATAAATCATGTTAATATTAAGTTTGACACGTCATATCGCTAGAGACACTAGTCGCATTCCATATTTGAAAAATTTATCGTGACTAACGTCGAGTTGGTTGCACATCAGAACAACAACTTGCACAGATACAAACTTTGTGGAGTCAAAGATCTCTCTTTTAACAAATTGCAACAACAATCAAAGTCGTAAAAGCACAGGTGTAAAGCACTCTTAACTGCTACAATTTCACACGTACAGCAGCCTCTTCCACAAAATGTTAAAACATGTACTTGTAGCAGGACCTGATTAGCAATGGCACAACGAAAAGGCAAGCTTCAACGCTGAGGTACAACACAAATCTAGCAAAGCAAGCAAATCTCAATCCCAAGCATGAAAAAGCCTTCGAACTGTTTAATTTGGCAAGCGAGGATGCAGCAGCAGTGACTGAAATTTGACAATGGTTAACAATATACTTTTAAACTCTTGTAAGTTATTTTCTATTATTTCAGTTATTTGACTAGTATCATAATTAATAAATAATTTTAATATTTTAAAAATAATTTAATTTATTATTAAATCTTTTGGTTATGTAATTAATTTATGTTTTTTTAACTTATTATAAATATATTGTTGCTATTGAATAAAAATTGAGTTTTTTCTTCATTTATTTTTCTCACAATTTCTGCACATTTTCTTTTTATTTTATTTTATTTTACTTTTTTTATCATAAAACCAACAACAACCATCCTACCAAAAAAAATGAAATCAATGTTTTCAGAACCGCATTACTGTGTTAATTGAAATGGATGGCAGGATTCTGGTGTAGTGAGTTCTAGAAAATATAAAAACAACTAAATCGAAGGAAAAGAGAAATAGTCACGTCTCACTTTACATACAAGACACAGCAAGTTGTTTTTGTATTTTATATTTTAATTAAATGGACGCATGACTGTATAGTGATTGCTTGTTGCTAAGGATAATGATATCCTCATAAAAAACAAAGGCTACTGAAGGAATCTCCATGTATATATACATAAAGGTATATCAAATGAGAGATGCCATTATTTGAGAGGGAGAAGGGCAAAAATTGATCATCAGATTATGTATGCACTCGAGAAATATGGAGAAAAAATTTTGGACGAAGAGGTAAAATACACAAACAAGGAGGACAAGAAAGAAAAACTGATCATTTCTTATAGCCTTCAGAATCCTTAAATTGGATGAAAACCGTACTTCAAATCAAGGCATCCCTTACATAAATCTATTACTAGCAAGTAGCTTACATAAAAGAATAACTGAAATATAGAAACAAAATATATTGCTTCCACATCACTCATAAAAAATCCAACTTCCGAGACAAAGTTTTACACTTCCACTCCCACTTCAAACCTATAAGGGAGTCCTTATAAATCAAGGCCATATCTAATCCATGCCATCTTTCATTTAAGAGACCAGTAGCAGTTCTAACAGCCTAATTCAACTTTTAAAGTTCCATAATACGGAGGGAAGTTATCAAACATATATAAGGCCTAAGAAGTTAAAAAACATATATCCTCTCTCCACACAAATTATATTGATTAACAAATATAAGATAGACCCCTCGGTTGTTCTGCCAAAATTAACCACGATACTCTTCTCTCAAATCCTAAACAATTTAAAGGATCATGCAAGATAAAAAAATGTGGCCAGACCTATTCATCAAGAGTCCTGATAGCACAGAGAGAGTATTAGTTTTTCTCATCGACAATGTCCTTTCCCTTCATAATAATTACTGGGCACTGAGCATGGTGGGCACAGTAGTTGCTAACACTTCCCAGGAACATCCTGCAAGCCAAGAAAAAAAAAAAGCAATATTATGGGTGGATTGTCAAAAAAGTTTCCCTCTTGAAAATTCAACTTACTTAAAATTTTAAAAACAATTAAAAATACTGGGTTTGATGTAATTGTGTAAGATGTGGAGCATTTGGTCTCATGTCTAAAATGCAAATGGAGGCAGAACTATCTATAGCTGTAGACAATGACTGAAGATAAAGAAAACAAATTAAAAGGTTCAGAAGTTGGTTATGTACAGTATTGAGGACCTTTGTAACTTTACTGGCATGTTTAGCAAGGGTGAGATCACTTTGCTACATTAGTTATTTGCTAGAATCATATTGCCAACAAAGTTTGAAACGTTTTATTGGGAAAGGTATAACTGCATGTAAGTGAGAAAGTTCCAAGCTCTTCCAATGTATTAAAGTGGGTCCACAATGTTTTAGCACTTCTTAACATTCTTATAAAGGGAAAAATCGTCCAGCCTGTACATCAAGTCATTTATGCTATGTGCTGTCAAAACTAGCATAAAGTATGTGATGTGTGCAAATTTAAGTGTTACATTCCGGCAATTATCAAGATTTATCACTATATAATTTGTACCTCTTAATGGGGCCAAATGCACGAGACCCCATCACAAGTACATCAGCATGCAAATCCTGCACAGCTTCACAAATCTTTTCCTTTGGATCTCCAACAACAACATGGGTCCTGACCTTACTCTGCCATAGATGGAGATAAGTCAACTACATTTTATGAGAACCGACAATAACTTGAAATGGTACACTTTAACACAAAAATGTGGCATTCGACGCTGCCGTTTCATACTATGGCACTATTATGTTCCAAAATAAAATTTATGATTAAGGAGATAACTTTTAACGCATTTTCACAGTTAAATATATACGCCTAACCACTTAAAAGTAATTTAAAAAAAATTAATTTTATCCAACTTTCAAACAAAACAACCTTAGTCACGGCTCACTACAGAAAAGGATGAATTCAAGGGACAATGACAACTCAACGAAACAAAAAAGTCATAAAGGTGAGGAGACGAAAAATGTTGACCAGTAAAAATCTATTAGTTAAAATAATTTATTCTAATATTAACAATATTACAAGCACTAAATTAGAAAGATCTCTAAAATAATGACTAATTTTTGTCACTATCCTTAAATTCGTAAAAAAGAAAGCCGTAAAAAAATAAAATCTACCCATTCCTTTATTTTGAATATATATTTCAATTGCAAAGATCGTTCCCGCAATTTCAAACTCGAACATTTTCTGTGGCAAATGGCGCATAATAATAAAAATATCCTCATAATATTTCTTATATAGTTTAGATAAACTTAAAAGCAAATTACCAAATTTTCTTTAAAAGATAAAGGGAGAGGGTATTGTAAAAGTAAAATTTTAGGGAAAAGAAAAGAGATGGTACATTGAAATTGAGTTGTTGGGAAATTTCCAGAGCGTGGTCAAGTATGGCGTCGGTGATGCGCTTCTGGTGAGCTTCGATGGCTACAGTGAACGCTGGAACTTCAAGGTCATCTGCTAAAACGATGGATCTTAAATTTAGACTGAAAACATTGAATTGAAATTAAAGATGATAATAATAATAATAATAATAATAATAATAAATGTACGGAACTGGGGCCACCGAAGGGGATGGGACCGGGGTTAAGGCCGGTGGCGATGGAGGGCGGTGACTGGACGTGGAAGATGATGAATGAAGGAGAATGGGTGGAATCGGGTGTAGGTGATCGCAGCTTGAGGTTGCTGAATGCCCAACGCAGCGCCTTCATGCTCTCTTCGCTCCCATCCACCGCCACTAACACGCAACTAAGGTTTCCACTTTCCGACATCGCTGCCAGATTGTGTTACTTTTTCACTTCCGATTGTTGAATTTGATGGTTGCTCTCTCTCTCTCTCTCTCTCTCTCTGACGAGTCTTCTCTTAACGGGACAATGTTTATTTGTAATATTTTAAGTTGAGTCCCTCTCTCTCTCTCTATAACCAGTACCATAAGTATATTGATTAAGGATTTGATAAGTAATTATTCTTTATCAAAATTATATTAGAATGCATTAGAATTTATAGAATAATTGTTTTTATATTTTTAATTAAATATTTTTATTTTAAATTTAACAGTACTTTAAAACATTTTTTAAATTCTTTTTACAATTTTTAGTTCCAATGATAATTTGTTATATTTATTTGCCAGGGTTCTTCCTACTACAAATTTAAAAAGCTTGTATGTAACGTTGAAGTTTGTGGACCAACAGATCTCAATTAAAATACGTTGTAATTTTCTTTTTTTTTTAACTATGTTTTTTTTTTTCACCTAAAAATTTTACTTATTAGAACTTTTTATTGAGACAATATTTGATAGTGTGCTAAAAAAATGTTGTATTTTTTCTTCTTCTTTTTTTTCACTAAAAGGATTCATTTTAGGAGGAAAAAAAAAAGAAAGGAGAAAGTTTGTTTGATAGTAATCTTATTTAAAAGTTTTTAAATTATAAATAATTTTTATAAATATTATAAAATTCTCTTAAAATTATATTTTTAAGTTTCTCTAAATTAAAAAGTTTTTTTGTTACCCTCTCTCTTCTTTTACTCCTTATACCATTATCTTTTCTCTCCTCCAGAAATTTCAAATAAAGCCTAAATTTTTGTACCATATTGTTAGTAAGCTTTTAACCAAATATATTCTGTCATCTACGAATGAAGTACAATGAAAAACATAACTTTTATGGATGTTAATCTTCATTTATCATATTTGATTTAATATAGCTTTACTTATTTTATTTGAAAAAAGAATGATCGTCACAAGATAATGCAAATATTTTTATAAAATAATAAGTTCACTAGTTTCTCTTAACAATGTTGATTGGTTCGTGCAAATATTTCATAAATTCAAACAATTATAATTTGTCTTTCTTTAATTACCTTTCTCTCTCTATATTTTTTATTAGTATTATTTTACAATAATAAACATTTCAAGGGTCTAATATGAAACAATGAGATTACAAACATGTCCTTAAATAAAATAGATTAAGAACTTACACTTTATGATGAAGAAATGTTTTAAAATTATATGCTTATTCTATTTAAAGACTTAAATATATTTATTTTTATTTGATAACATTGTGATCTTTAGAGGATAATGTAAATACTTTTATAGAATAAAAATTTTATTAGTTTATCTTATTAATGTTCATTAGTTTATATAAATATTTCATATGTGAATGAATAATCAAGATAATTATTATTTGTCTCTCTTTAATTATCTTTCTCTCTATCTCTATATTTTTTTGTTATCATTATTTTACAATAATAAATAGTTTTTAAGGTTTAGTATGACTTTTTAAATGTCAATTAAATGAGATTATGAACACACCTTTAAATGAAATTAGTTTAATAAACTTACAGAGTAAAATGTTTTGAATTCTATTTAAAGGTTTAAATCTACTTATTTTTAGTTTAGACACTAATATTTTTTAATATTATTCAAATTAGACTCTAAAATTCGTTTCCCTACATATGCATTTAATTAATGTCATTTATTTTATAATCTGAATTTTACATATACAAATGATAAAGTAATATAATTAATGAATCATAAATAACACGAAAAATAACAGTAGCTGTAATATGAAATAATGAATATTTAAGATCAAAGACGTGGAAGCATGGACTATATGCCATTGCGCCACAAACATTTGACCAGCGAAGTTAGAATTCACTGTTTTTGATGCCGTGGAAACGAAATTCCTTTCCCTCAACCATCAAATTCTTAAATTCCGTAACCGACCAATCTCAAAAAAATAATAAATCATTATTTTATTTCTGCGTCTCTCTCTCTCTCTCTCTCCTGAAAATGAAGCAAAATCCCAAAACGGTAAAATTGGTTCATCTTCGGAATGAAATTGGGGTTGTAGCTTGTTCCAACTCCAAAAACAGTTTCAATTCGACATCACCTTCTTCTTCCTCTTCGTTTTAATTGCAAACACTTGCCGTGACACGTCATCAATCTTCACACTGCGTCTGCGAGCTACATGCCTCTCTCACTCTCACCACCAAACTCGCTTTACCTTGCTAATCTCACTCGCTTTTCCGTCACCGTCCAAACACTTAGGGACCCTTACCGCGATCGCTTTCTCGGCCACCGTCGCCGCCCCCTGTGGCGGTGACACCCTAGGGTTTCGTCTCCTTCGCTGGATAAATGCGTGTCACCATTGATCTAGGGTTTTCGAGCCTGCTCCTCGTCGCGGTGGTTTTCTGCGTCGTGCCGGCGATCGCCTTCGTGCTGCGTCGCAAGTGGCGAAGCGCGGCGGCGAGGGCGGAGGAGATCAAGAGGCTTCTGGTTCTCGCGGAGGAGGAGTCTGCCAGGGCCGAGAGCGAGGCTTCGTACCAGTACGACGCCGTTTTAGTTCCGAAGGAAAAACGATGTGTCGTGTGTTACTGCCCCACCACGACGCGGTGCGCGCGGTGCAAAGCGGTTCACTACTGGTACGCTCTCGGTTTCTATTTTGAGTTTCTTCTTATCACTTCACGCTTCGAGATTTTTCTATTTACTTGCTATTTTTGCTAAATTGTGTTACATAATTTTTCTCTCTGTTGCTTGAACTCAAGTCTAGTTAAGCCATTAGGTTTCGGCCTGTGGTAAGAGATTTGGGTAGTTTGAATTGGGTGATGGGTTGCAACTTAGTTGCCACCATTGTGAATAACACTACGATATGATAATTTTGCTTGTAATCCACTAAGGAAAATGCAAAATATTTTGTCTTGGTTTGCATCTGCGTGGTTGGGATCCTTCAGTTAGTCAATTCTTGAATATGATCAACATTCACGAGATCACTTGGTTGTTCATTTCTACTAAAAGATGGGTATTGCCAGTGGAACTCAAAATCGTATTGTAAGTGATGTGTGGACAAATGACAAAACAGCAGTTGGCAGTTGGAGAATTTATTTTTCGTATATAATCCTTGTGGAAGACAAATGCTACGTTTTAATTTTTGTTTTCTTTCAAATTTGGAGAATGAAGTATGATAGCTGGAATTTTTGAATCAATGGCCCCTCATTTTTAAAAGACCCTTTGTTATTGTGTGTTTGGTTTAAGTTATTTTGGAGAGATAAACATCTTTTTTACCAGCTAGCTGAGAGAGATTTTAAATCAGTTATCAATTATTTCTGATTTAAGCTGTACCAAACATGCTATTAGTGCTTGAATTGTGTTCTTGCGCAATTTGTTGAATGGCTTAACTTACAATAATGGCCCAAACCATTGTTTTTCCTTTGCAAATTTCTATTTTTGTATTTTTAGAAAATTATTATGTCCATAATCACCTTTGTTTTTATGTGTTTCAGTTCTGGCAAGTGCCAAATTGTTCATTGGCGTCAAGGTCACAAAGATGAATGCCATCCTCCAAGGCCCAACACAACTTGCCAGACTAATGATCTTGTAGGTGATTTTGGAAAGACGGCAGCAGAACCAGACTACCATGGAATCCGTGATGAGAAGTCTCGGATTGAAAGCACAGACTGCACCACATCCTCTGAGAGACCCCCATTGTCTAATATGAGCTGTCCTGAAATCTCACGTGCAAAGGATGATAATGTAAGAGTTGAGTCACTTCAAGGGGAGAACATTATGGACCCAAATTCTGAATTATCTAGTAACTCATTCTCTGGATTCTCAGCTTCTGCTAGTGCTACTGAATCATCTGATGATTCTTCTTTCTGTGAGAGTATCACTTCAAATGAGAATGAAAGATCTGACGGACATATTTTTGGGGATCCCACCCATGAAATTACTGATTCTGCTTCAAATCATAATAGCATTGGTTTATCCACTCCATTGTCACCTATGTTTGCTAGTTTGGTTGATTCAGTAGATGACTGTCCTGCAATGCATAAATTAAATCAAGTTAGACCTGATTTTGGTAAAGAAGAGAACAAGTACACATCAACTGGTAGTTCAGGTTTGAGTATAAGGAAAGGGGCAACAATTGAGCCTTCTACAGTGTCTTCTGGATTTTGGAATAGAACTCTTGATTCAACAGGGATAAAAGATGACTCTAAGAGTGATCTGCTTCCACCCTACTCTGATGATTCTCCTCCAAAGTCTGTTGTGAACAGTATGCCATGTGCAGGATCTGCATCTTCAGAGAATGGGGGTGTTCATTCTTCAGATTGTGCTGATGCTTTGAGCATCCGTAACTTGCAAATGGTTGGTTCTACAGTATCAAATCATGTTGTCAGCAAACCTGGTAGCACCTTGAAGTCAGCTGAAAGTAGATATCTGCCACGTGCTTTTGCTGATGCTAAGTTAGTATCTAGAACTGAAGAGCATTCACATTATAGTACAAAATTTGGGAATAATGGTATCCAATCGGGCACTGCCACTTCATCTCAGGTTGTTAGCTGTTCTCCAAATTCTAAGAATGGCCTGAGAACATCATCTGTTCTGCAAGTTGCTGATCAGTTTAGTGGATCAAATTTGTCTAAACACTCTCCAATAACTGTTGGGAGTGATATCACTGGAAAATACAGTGACAAGGTTACTCTTCAACATTCTATTTATGTGCTTTTGTCTCTAAAGGAGCCATAATCTCACATTTTCTATTAATAGTTTATGCAGGGTCTGTTTCCGTATGATTTGTTTGTCAAGCTTTATAACTGGAACAAAGTGGAGTTGCAGCCATTTGGTCTTATAAATTGTGGAAACAGGTAATTAGAAGTGATTTGTTTACGAGAAATAGATAACCTGTGCATTATGTGTATTTATTTGTAATATGTTTTTTATGTAATTTAATAGTACAACTGTGCATTATTTTCTCCCTTGCCATATTGTTGATTGATTGATAAGAATTGTTAAGTTGTTGAGTGTTCTTCTTAAATCAATATCACTTCCCGCTTGTAGGATTTACTTGTTTATTTTCTTAATTTTACAATCATTTTGCAGCTGTTATGCTAATGCTGTACTCCAGTGCTTGGCATTTACACCACCCCTGACTGCTTATTTGCTCCAAGGACTTCATTCCAAGTCATGTATGTATGAACTCAGTTTCATATTCGAATTGCCATATGCCAAATTTCCCCCTTGCGTTAATATATAATTTTAATTTCAGGTGCAAATAAAAAATGGTGTTTCACCTGTGAGTTTGAAAGTTTGATTTTGAAGTCCAAAGACACAAAATCTCCTGTCTCACCTACGGGCATAATCTCTCAACTACAAAATATTGGGAGTCAACTTGGTAATGGAAGAGAAGAAGATGCACATGAATTTCTAAGGTGTTTACATCATTGAATCTGTGTACATTGATATTTTGTAATTATTGTTTTGTAAACCTCAAGTTAATATGTCGTGTAACATCTGACAGGCTTGCTGTCGAGACAATGCAAGCTGTTTGCCTTATGGAACCTGGGGCTAACACATCAGACTCGATAAAAGAGGAAACTAATTTAATGGGCCTAACTTTTGGAGGCTACCTTCAATCAAAGGTAAACTATTTTTCTATGTGAAGAAAAATTGTGACTGAAATTTTGTTTTAATCCACAATTATAGGTGCAATACAGTGTTGGCCTGTGTTTCAAATATACAACTCTATTATACCTGTCATATAGCATCTATTGATGCAAGTAAGATGGACAATGGACATAAAGCTGATAATATGTTGGCAGATAAAATGTATGAAATGTGGGGGGAAATCTGAGCGTCAAGAAAGGATGATGGATCTGACTGTTGAGATAGAAGGGGAGATAGCAACACTTGAAGAGGCCCTTCAACAGTTTACAAGCACTGAGACTCTGGATGGAGAAAACAAGTACCACTGTGTCAGGTTGGTTGATCTTTGAGGAGCCTCTTGAAAATTTTCAATATATTCAGATCATACCTTTACTTTCAATATTTTGTAACTCACAAGGTAAAACAGTGCATTCGTTACAATTTTAGTAAGAAATAAGAGATGATTGTTATGTGCTAGATGTTAGAGTTAGAGATGGCACAATACTATAGGTCTTCAAGTTTAGGTATTTAGGATCAATTTTACAAAATAATAGAAAAATTAATAAAATGTTACTCATAAAATATAAGTTGGGAACTTAAATTAGAGAAAGACATTAGGAACAGTGTTATCAAATAATGGCCATGATGGTGCCATGGCGGATGTTGATGGCGGTTTTTGCCCAAACTGCCACAACCATGGCAGATTTATGATGGACATGCCATGGCGGCCATGGTGGAAAATGTTAGTTTTTGAGAACAAAAAAACGAAATGGGCCTCCAATGCAAACCCGGTCCAAAGTGACTCAAGAACCCCAAAGCATGCTTATCAATAGTGCCGCTATTGCATTGGCACAGAGCAGTGGTTGGCTGCAAAATACTTGCTGTCGTGGATTGTTTCTCTCTCATGGAGTGTCGTTTGGGCCATTTTTATGGGCAAAATGGACTTTCTGTCCCACTTAAAATTTTTTCCTTCCTTCTCCTGTCGAGCAAGCATACTAATACATGGTACTATACCTCTTTTTTCTCTCGTGCTCCGTTTTTCTTCCTGCTCTCGTGCTCTGCTTTTCTTCCTGCTCTCTGAAGCTGACTTCTCCTTCTACACCATTTTTGCTGAAGAAGACATCCTTTCTGGCTGTTTTCTGGGGACTGTGAGTGGAGGGACCTGTTTTTCGACATCTATTTTACGTTTTGCTTCTCTGTACTTTGTTTTCTGCTTCAAATAGTGCTCTATTTTTCACACTCTACGACTATTTGCTTCTTCTGGTGCTTTGTTTTTCATCTTCAAACAGTGCTCTGTTTCTCACTCAGTCTGGATCTTGTTCGAGGCTGTTTTGTCTTTTCCATCATTTTCCATTTTCCAGCCATGGTATTATCCTTTTTTACATATAGGCCAGTAAATTGGGACCTGTAGTGTTTTTTGATATATTGTATTGTTTTTTTTTAATATATATTATTATTTTATTATGATCACCATGCTTCTGCCATTGATAACATTGATTAGGAATTGTTTATGATCATAAAGTACCTATTAAATTGAAAAGAATGTTTCATCATACTGGTATACGACCATCTATTTTATATGAGAGAATATTGTGTGTTAACGAACAACAAAAGAGTGAAAATTGTAGAAATGAGAATATTAAGATGAATAAGTGATTTTATGAGAAAAAATATTGTATAGGTCAGAATATTGGAATAACACGTAAAAAAGATGACAGAAAATCAATTAAGGCGGTTTGAGTACGTGTGAAGGCACTAGATACACAAGTTAAGAGAGTGAATGAAACGAGAGATCTAGCTATAAATAATATCTCAGAATTTTTTTTATTGATGTCAATGATTTTGTGTGATCCATTTACCCGACACCACCTATTGAGATAAAATTTTGGTTGTTTATATTAAATAAAATTAAAAATTAACAAAAAAAAGAAGATCAAATGACCTGCTCCCTCTGCTCTGCCCCTGCCCAGGGGAACTTTCTTTTAGGTGGGTCCCACTTCTAACTTATCCCCTCCACCCAAACACAAAACCACCACCACCCCCTCAGCCCCCTAATCCTGTTTATTAAACTTCAACTAAAGATTCACAATATACTAAAGAGAAGCAGCATGACAAGAAGCCAACAGCTTGCAACAAGAGAGTGCATAGCAACAATAGCATGCAACAATGACCAAACCACAACAGCAAGGGATGCAGCAATGATTAGAAAAGACAAAGAAACAAGAAGAAACCATGCACAAAAAATGAGTGTGTTTTGAGAGAGGAAAAAGTAGAGGGAGAAGGATTCAGGTGTTAGGGAGAGAGGGAATAGAGATTTCATTGGGTAGCAAACTATTCTGTGCGACCTGATCCACTTCATATGTGGGCTTCAACGCATCTTGGAGCACTTCTCCCATTACTTTACGTGTTGATGCACTGGTAGAGCCTAGGAACTGCAGCACAAAGGTGTGCGATGTGCTGAAGGCTGCAAACCTTGTTGAATTTTATGCTTCAACAATCCAATTCATAATTTTGACAACATCTGCAAACCTTGTTGAATTGTATGCTTCAACAATCCAACTCACAATTTTGACAACATCGCTTAGGATCCACAACCTTGAGCAGTGAACAACTACATTTCAGGTTTGATCACATCATGTGTCTAACTGGTTAATAGGAGAGAAACCCGCCAAATAGTACTTTAATTTTTGTTGATGTTTTATCCCCATCTTGAATGTGTTTGCTAAATTTATACTACCTATTAAGAACTAAATGGATGTTAATGAAATATGAAATAAAAATATAACATTATGAAGAAAAGAAGGGAATCTAATTTATGCAAAGTTTTTATAACCGGATTGGTCATTGAACTGGTCAAGGCATTGGTTTAAGGTTTAATGGTCCAGCTTTGGTTGAACTGTTGTTAGTTAAACTGGTAATAATTAAATAATATATTTTTTCAAAAGATATGTATAATATATAAATAATATTGAATAAAAAAATAATATTCACAATTTCATGTCACAAGGCATCATATATAAAACTAAATCATCTATAATATAATATTTAAATTTAAATTCAACCAGAAATTTCAATATTTAGTCTTAAATATATAAATAAAGATAACAAATAATATAATAATTATTAAGCAGCCTTTATTGATAATTGATAAGTATACCAGTGTTGGAATTTACGATTTAACGAGAAACAAAAAGAAACATGGACTAGATGCAAAAGTACTAGCACTTGGGGTTGGGAGTTTGGTCAAACTGTTCCTTACTGTGCCCTTCTGCTATTTTTCTTTGAGATTTTGGCTAGAACAGCATTTTCATGTGTGGGAGGACTCTACTTTTGTTGGACATAACTGATAGACGTTGTTTTCAAGCCAAAATAAGGAACAGTTACACCCACTTGAACAATTGGTTTTTTCAGTTTTTTTTGTTTTTAACTGGTTTGTCCAGTTTATGTTTGGTTTTTAATGCAGTTGGTTATGTGATTATTCCGGACCAGTACCTGGTCCAGTTCCGGGTTGAACTGGTTGGACCGGATGATCTGGTTTTCATAACCATGGATTCGTGTCACTTCATAACAGCTTTTTGAGAGAAAAAGTATCTCTATTAAGGTCTGCCAATATTTGATTACGTGGCTTGTGCTAAACTCCTGCTGAGGTTTAGAGTGGCTTGTTATTGCCTTCCTTGGGAATTTTGAATAGTGCTAACCGGTTAAATTGGAAGTTGAAATGTATTGCTTGTGTTTTGTTTAAATCCTTTCTTTTTCCTTATAAATTTGTTGAATGATCATCATCTTTCATTTTAGTTTGGTTATGCATTCAAAACTTTCACACAATGTGTGTTACAAATTTACAGGTACTGAAAAAACAACTCAGCTTTTGTGCCATCGATTTATTAGTCTACCTGTCAAATCAAATGAGCTCATACTTGTTTTATATTGTTGCTACCATGTTCAGGATTCTATTGCTACAAAAGAATATGCATTCTTGTTTCTCCATTTTTTTAGCTTTTTTTATATGTTAAGTATGGTCAACTTTAGGATATTATTTGGAGCTCTACTAATGCATAAATTTTCTGTCGAGTTTTGTGGTTGAAAAAGTTTCCTATTTCTGATCAAGGTTTCCATGTTAAGCAGGTGTAAATCTTATGAGAAGGCCAAGAAGAAAATGACAGTTTTAGAGGCACCTAATGTTCTTACAATTGCGTTAAAGAGATTTCAGGTATTTCTGTCAAATTCAAGGACAAGATTTTACCACATATCTTTTATGAAGATTAAATATTTGTTGTGTGTGTTGCAGTCTGGAAAATTTGGGAAGCTCAATAAACCTATTCAGTTTCCTGAAATACTTGACTTAGCACCATTCATGAGTGGGACTAGTGACTTACCTATATACAGGCTATATGGGGTAGTTGTTCACTTGGATATCATGAATGCTGCTTTTTCGGGTCACTATGTGTGCTATGTGAAGAATTTCCAAAGCAGGTGGTTCAAGGTTGATGACAGTTTGGTAAGTCTCAGTTTCAATTTTCTTGCATATCTTGAGAAGATTTCTTTGGTTCTTAAATGTATTTCTACGGATTTATGCTTTCCTTAACCAAGGGTTATGATTCTACAGAGCTAGTTAAAATCAGGATTTTACTTTAAATTGTAAAAGAGAGTGAAAATCGTAAATCGTAAATTGAATTGTAAGATTTTATAAAATTCATATATATATGTGTGTGTGTGTATAAATTTATATTATGTATATAAAATAGCATAAATTAGAGAAAAAAAACCTTTAAATCAGTAAAAGCACTTAAATAAAGTAGCACTTACAAATCATAATCCATATTCCATAAGAATGTCATACATCGACGTGGGTAAAAAATAGACCAAAACAGAAAAAATAGAAGAACAGCAGCATTAGGGTTGAACTCAGTGCAGTACACTGCTGCTTTTAGTTGCAGACCAGGCTGCACACACTGGGGGGACTGTTGAATGTTGACAATGGCATTAAGGTTCAAAGCTTCTTGAGGAGAATCGGGTTTGATAAAAAAGAGATGTGAAAGAGGCATCAACTACATCATTAGGATTCAACAGAAGGGGCTTTTCGATGAATTTTCAGAATCCAAGTGAAATCGTAAATTTCCATGATTTGAGGGATTTTTCAACAATTTTACTGAGCCACAATGTAAATTGGTAAGGCATCCAAAATCGTAAAATTGTAGGATTTTATGATTCAAATTAGGATTTTAACTACCATACCAATAAGCTTGTAAGCTAAAATGATAATTTGTACTTATCAGCAACATTTGACTAAAATTTCAAGTACATAAGCTTAGTGGATTTTTATTATTTGTTTATTTTATAAAATATGACTTAAGACTTCATAATCTATAATTCTATTATTTTTTTTTCAAGCAAAATTTTTAATCAAAGTTGACAACAGAACTATGTTTTTTGGTGGTCAGACATGACAATAGAACTTTGAATAATAGCATTATGCCTATTACCAGCCTCAGCCGAGTCCATAAATGAAAGCTCCCCACGCAAAATTGCTCTGTAGCCCTTTCTTCAGAGCTACTTCAAAGTTCAATGTGCAAACATGTCTTCAAATCAGAATTCTACCCTAGCACAGTGGGCTATTGTTTGGGAAAAAATATTAATTATGGGGAAATAGACTATTTTATAACTATTTCAGAAAGTTGCAAATAAAATGAGGGTGACTATATCCTGTAGCCAATTTGATGTCAAAAACCTTTTCTTCAGATTTATAAATCATTTTTTATGGATGAAGATGTCTGCAGATCAGTGCTCTCTCTTCTTACCCTTGTTAAAACCTCGAGGTTGAACCTTTTCACCATCAGATAAACATTGAAATTAACATAAGCAATTAAACCAATCAAGTAATCAAAATGGAGAAGGAAATCTGCAAAATCTTCAATGTCATTATATTAAATCCCATCATATAGATTGCACGAAAGACCTGTTCAGGAGATCATTATAAGAGATTTCATGATAAATAATATCTTTGAAAATTTAGTTTTTGAGTCTAAGGATATTTTGTGATCTATGTAGCTAACTTCACCCAGTGGGATAAAACTGTTGTAGTGTTTATATTGCATAGAAGACTTAGTTTTAGGCATTAGTTTTTGTTTGGAAACATGTTAAAAAACGTGTAAACATGGATTTAATGTAACAGTTTTAATTAGTAGTGTTGAAATAAATATAAATTCATGACCATGTAAACTTGAATCCAAACACGCATTTAGTCATTCACAAAATTTAGTTTGACCACTAAACTGAAGGATACCAATGTTGTAGTTGGAGTGTGTTTTTGGATTTAATAGGTACAAGTGTTTGCCTGCAATAATGACAAAGGCTCTCTTATCTGTTGATATTTTCACTGCAGCAATTACTTAGACATTTAATCTTCTCTCATATTTATCTTGCAGGTGACAGCTGTTGAATTGGAAAGAGTCTTGACAAAAGGAGCATACATGCTTTTTTATGCGAGGTAACCTATCTAATTATTGGTTGTTATTTTTGGGTAATATCTTGTTTCTTGCTTCTGTGTAAGATTTCTTTTTAATTATATCATCTCTAATCTGCTTCTCTGACTAACTGAACCACGTTGTAGGTGCTCACCTAGGGCCCCAAGATTAATCAGGAACAGTATAGTATCTTCAGATTCAAAATGGAAAGTCCATGGAAAAACTGTTGCAAAGAAGTCGAGACATGTATCTACACTTTCTGGTGCTGGTGAAAATATGACTAGTTCGACTTTTCCAGCTGGTTCACACACCTTAGAGAGTATATATTCGAAGTTTCACCACCTGAAAAGGATTTTGGAAGAAGACTCATCAAGTGATAATTCATCCCTTATCAGCAGCAATTCTGATGAAGGTTCTTGCAGTACTGATAGCACTTGTGATTCAACGAGTACTGATGACTTTACCGATTATATTTTTGGTGATTCTGGACGTGTCTTGGGTGGCATATTGAGAAATTCTGATACTGACATTTCATCCGCATTGTCATCATCTCACTTGAACTCTAGACATTTGCCCTCTTCTGATGTTGACCCAAATGATTCAGTTTTCCAACTTGCAACTGGGTTCCAACTCCAACCACCTCCCCCAGGTCCAAGGGTGGAGATAAACGGTCTGTTGTACAGGAGCAGACCAGTGGATGTTAAAAGGAATGGAGGAATTGTTTCTCATATGCATCCTGACACAATTAGAGAGCATAGAAAGTTAGATACAAGTAGGAGTATTAGCTTTAGGGAGACTGACTCTATACAGAGAGCAGGATCCAACCATTTTAATGAGAGAAGAAATTCTGGTGTATCATGTATAAAATCGAGGGACAGAACGGATTGAATATATACTGGGAGCTTCTGAGCAGTAAATAATAACTATGGAAGCTCCACGTAATGTATACCTGTGGGTGCCCTTTTTTTTCCCCAGCAAAATATCACCGTCCTTTCCTCAACGATTGCCTCACGTTTTTCTGTTAAATAATTCAAAAGAACTTTATTTTTCGGTAAATCCAAACATTTGAAATATCGAGGAATATAATACTATTCGTCTTTTGGTTGCCATTAACTCTGACGTGCTTCTGATTTTTGCATAACCTGCTGGTATTTTCTGCAAGAAGTAATCCTGCTTGAGAGTTCGTCAACTGAGATTAAAGATAAAACAAACAACTGTGTCACGCGCTTGGTAATTGATATTTAAACAGTTCAAAATATTTAGTTTTATATGATTGACGAAACAATTATTTTTGGTTAATTGAAGCAGGCTCAAAAGCCAAATAAATTGTATTTTAAGTAAATGTGTTTTACTATTCAACAAATAATTTTTCTTTCAACATTAATTTTATCTACCACACGTCCACTTTTGATGGCTGAAAAATTGGTTTGCATGGTTTAACAAGTGGATCAATTGGCATGAACTTGTTCCAACATTGCCTCACATAAAGAATACATGTATTTTTTTATGAGAAAAATCCAATATCATGTTTACAACCTTTTTCAAATGGAATAGTACATTTGTTTGAGTAAACGAAAGTTGTAAGTTTTTGGGGCAAGGTAAAGAAAGTTGTTTCTTATTTTCGGTAAACAAAGGGTAAAGAAAGTTGAAGTGTACTTAGTGGAATATGAGGTTTGGTATCGGGCTAAAAGAAGCTTGTGAACGGTAAGGGGCAATGGGCCCAAGATCATCATTCGGTGCTCTGGGCTAATCATACAACCCCAATCTTCCACACAACTCCCTTCTGTACGTTTCTAGATTATAATTTACAATTTTAAATTTGAATAAATTGAATTTAATAAGATTAATTTTGTTTATAATAAGTTAAATTAATCTGTAAATGTTATTGAGTTTTTAAATAAGTTTTTATGATTTAAGCTTTTTAATAATCTTTATAACTTTAAAAAATTAACAACATTTGTACTCAATAAATGTTACTATTACTAAACTATTAAAATTTATTTGAAAATACACATAAAATATAAAATATATTTAATGGTATTATTTTTCAAATGATTTTTTATAATTTATTTATATTTTTCAACGCGTTCGTATAATTTAACAAATTTTAATGAAGTTTTAACGATTATTAAGAGTAAAGATTCAATTTATATTTTTAAAACACAAAGATCTCGTTAAAAAGTTTTAAACTTAATATTTAAAGAATAATTTAATTTTTTTAAATTTTTTTAATAAACAAAGCTTAAAGCCTAAACACAAACTAAAAACTAGGCAACTCCTCTAGATAACTAAATGAAGTAAATCAAAAAAAGTTGATTCTAAAATATAAAACGAGATTTTTTCTTTAGCCTTAGTTTTAATAAGTCGATCAGCACATTAATTAGTCACTCTTAAGTCATGGCTAAATCTAATAAAATGAATATATTTAATTACACATGCAATAATTTAAATAATTTAATCTTTATAATAATGTAAATTATGCTTAAATATTTAATTTTACTTATAACTAAAATTTAGAGTGTGCGAACTTTATTCATACATGCAATACATTCCTGAGTGGAATGAAAAAAATTAAACTAGAATTAAAAAAATGTTGTATGTGCATTTTAAAAACTGTAATGACAATTATAAAAATGTAAGAAAATAAATTATACTTTTCTAAAAAGAATTATTATTATTATAAGCTAAATTTTAAGTGAAGTTTTCAATTGGTCTTTTAATTTCACTTTTTTTATTTAACGTAGTCCTCTAAATTATTATTATTTTTTTGCTTTATTTTTAAATTTTTTCTGATTTAGAGAATGTTTTAGCGTTGATATAAATGAGTTCGGAACGAAGACAATAATTAGCAATAAAAATTAAATATATATAAGATTTGATAAATGATGTGTTAATCGCGATTGTTAGGTATTTACAAAGAAGAAAAAAGTTATTAGTAAAAAATAAGTTGTAAGCAATTCAAGAATTTTTTAATAATAATTTAAAATTTTCAAACAATAATTTAGTAGTAAAACGTGTAAAAAATGTAAAATAAAAAAACTGTTGTAAAAAACATCGCTGTTCAAAAATTTTAGTTAAATTAAAATATGTAACAAAATTAAAAGATTCTAAAAAATTAAAGGACTTAATTAAATTAAAAAAAAATAGGAAAGCAAAAATTAAAATTTTACTTAAATTAAAGGGAAAAAAGTATATTAAGACCTATTAATTTAGATTATCTAAAACCTGTAATATAAGTTAGAAGTGAATGTGTTTGCAAAACGAATAAGCGAAGGGATAATGTGGACCCAATTTGTGAGCTTTGCCCAAAAAAGGGACAGAAACCTCTCGACCACATCTATTCATTCAGACAGACACGACTTCAAGTTTGTCCCCTTTCCATGCCTTTTCCTTTTCGGCTTACCATTTCTATCTCTTCCCATTTTTGCTTTTCAATTTTGATGTGATAACCACAACTACTATAATTACCCTTTTACCTATCTCTTTGCTTCCACTTAACAATTCTAATTTTATTTATATTTTTATACTATTTTATTATTTTTAATAAAAATTTGTATTATCTACCCTCAATGACAAATACTATTAGTCATTATACCTGCACTCTTTAATTTCTTACGCGTGCACTACCTTTTTGTTTTGCAAATTCTTAAGCAAGTTAAACCAGGTAAAAAGAAAAGAAAAGAAAAGGGGTAATGGTTTTTTTAATTATTGTGAATTATATATCCTCAGATGTTTGTATAAAAATTTATATATATAATATCAAACACAATATTCAGATCATTTTAAAATAATTGAACATGGAAAATAAAAGCAAACTAAAACAACTGTTTTAATATTGGAAGGGCATATCAGGATCCATTTGCTGATTTTAAGTTGTTCTATGACTGTACCAAAAAAAAAGTGTTACAATTAAAAGTGTAGTGTAAAGGAGATTTTTAGTTTAAACGATATCGAATCTAATATCTTTCGCCTAAAACTCAACCTCATTGGATCATGTTAAAACGAAATGAATTTAACAGATATATTTTCTGCTATTTGTAAGGTCAAAAGCCCAAGAGACACCAAATTATTGTGTACAGTTGAAGTGTTGTTTTTCAAATTAAAATTCAACACAGGAAAATCATTGTCGTCTTCAAAATTAAAAGTGGGGCACGGGTGCATCTATTAGTTACAGTTAAGAAAGAAATCACTTTTACATAGAACATTATATAGTATAACAAAAACATGCCTACAATTTATATTAGAAAAGATTAAGGAAAGGAAAAAAGTAAACGAAAGAGTGTGGATACTCTCACGAGCAGCGAATATTGCGGGTCTATTAAGTGGGAAACTTTTTGCTTGGGAGTTATGACTAACAAATCAGTGACTCAAAGACAAGTTCAATGATAAAATCTTGCTTAATCATTCTTCTCATACGAAGTTATTGACAATTGATCTTTTCGGCTGCAAACGTTCTTATGAGACTCAAATACTCTATTTCCTTTTTATATCTCTAACCATATACACCTCTAATACAATAGTATTAACTGACTGTTTATTAAAAGATGAGTTGCCCATGTAAGTTTTTAAGGTTTGGTACCTACATGAGTAGCCCTAGCCCATGTCTACCTTTTAATATTTATATGCCTTTTGCGGATAGATTTTGCATTGCTTATAATAGCGTTAACAACTTTTAGTACATCCATCAAACCATGGTATTATTTCTTTGTGGAGACATTTCACCTCAAATGTACTTATCTAATTAAATTTTGTTTTGGAGTTAATTTTTGGGAGGAAAAAAAAAGAAAGAAAAAAAACTTATATTATAGTAATATTTGTTTGATAGTTTTAAAATAAGATATGAAAGTTTTATAATTCATCTAAAACCCTATTAAGTTAATGATTTCAAGCTTTCTTAAATTAGGAGATTTTATATTAATTTTTTCTCCTCCTCCCTACCCTTTAAACCCCTTCCCTCTCTCCAAATTTTCAAACTTTTTTTCTCATTTATATGTTTCTCTTTGTATCTTTGATAATTTAGGGTTTAACTATTAGTTAAAATTGTTAAATTTTATATTAACAGTTTAAAAATTATAATTATTATATATTTTAATTAAATGATAGTAAAAAATAACATTATATACTAAGAAGGCGTCAAATTAAATTTTAAAAAATAACATCTCCACAAAACTTAACAAACTAAAAAGTGAATATTTATTTCTTAGTGTAAGGATCATAGTTCTCCTACTGTTGTCACGTGGTAATGTTCTGCCAACTTTTTTTTCCCCCAAGTGTTGCGCACTCTCAGAGTCATACTCATTACATGCATGTGCAACACATGTCAAACATGTAATAAGTATTGTTAAATGTCTAAATGATACTTATTTTTATTTTTTAAAATTAATATTGTTCATATCAGGTTCGATTCAGCCTGCATACATGGTCTAAGACTGCTTCAGATAAGTAAAATATAAAAAATTAAACATGTCTTTTTCAATCAGGAAAACATAAAAGAAGGTAGGAAACAAAGATAGGTAATTTCAGAGAGTGTACATAAGAGCATCTATAGACATTTCTCTTACTCTGAAACATCTCTTATGTAGATGAGTGGAAGGACTTTCTTCTTTCTTCACAAAGATTCCTCTTGACAGACCTTCCTCAACGTGTTTGCTATCTTTATTTCCATTCTCATGTCAGAGTCTGTATTGACATGTGCATTCACTAATTTTTCATTTGCACATATCGATCTTGTCATAAGTCTTTGCTCTGACCCCATCGATGTGATATATGTTGAACCGGATTTTAATTAAGTTGTTAACAATTAATAGTTCCACAATGGGATTTGTAACTTTGGTCATATCAAAAGTTGCATTTGGATATATAGGGTTTACAGCTTTATTATGCAAAGGTTGTAGAGGATTGGTAGTTTTTCTGTTCAAAAAATGTATGTAGTAATGATATACACGATAACATGTTTGATACTTTCTTATCCATAGATGTTGGGTTAAATTAATGATATTAGATTATTGAATTATTTTTTCTTGATTATTATTTAGTAAATCTTAAATTAATATTTTAAAATTATACGTCTGTTTATGTTAATTTTCTAAATAATTTTTTCATCGATCAAATCGTATTAGTTTAAAAAGTTATCAAATAATTAGTATTTTAAAATCGATGCCGAACTCATTTTCATGAAAGAATGAAGTGAAAACACAAAACAATTTTGAAGTGATTAATTTGATTATGAATTGGTTTTTGAAGATTGAATTTTATAAAAATGATGTTAATTAACAAAATAATAATAATATGATAACGTGTATAATTTGAAGAGTTAATTTAAAATTTTATTTAGTTTGCAATATATATTCCAAAACAATAGGAAGATGCAATACTCTTAATAGTGTGTTTTACATGTGGAATTCGACTATACTTGGCCGAGTTTCATTTTTTTTTACCCTAGAATTTATGCCAAAATGCATGAAAGTCTTGGAATCAATGAATTGGAATGTGCCAAATACTATACACGCATTGTTTATATGCATGGATTGGATGTACATTTATTTATTTTGACTAAAGAAAGCTACAGGCTAGCTAAAGTGCTTCTGCCTTCGAGAAAGAACAAGAGAAATTAATAAAAAAATTATATAATAAAATAAAAAGAGAAAGTTAAATAACAACTTTAATTTTTTTAATTTAAAATAAAATTAATAACACTGTGAATAAAAAAAACTATTATTAAAAAATATAATTCACATATTTTTAGTTAATTTTAATTCTAAAATATAGATATAGCAGCAAGCTGTGAATAGTAACTCTGAGTGATACTTGATTCCCTAAACAGTAAACTCAAACATATTTCTGCCACCATAAAAAAATGAAGAAAAGAAAAAGCATACATAACATAAAAACACTCTAAAATGAAAATAATTAGCAAATAAAGATGGATGGAGGCGATGGATAAGATGCATGTGTTGCAATAGTGGGCAGTGGGCACAAACACAATTGCTGCCGCCCATACATACAGAATATATATCGTTATCAGCCATAAAGAAGCTTTTCTTTCTTCTTTCTTTTTGTTCCTTTTACTCTCAAATTATAAATAAGTGCAAAGTGCAAGGACCGTAACTTATATAGTACCTATTAGCTGATACCCACCAATAAGATGAGTAATTTTTTGGTATCCTTAAAAAATTTACTTCTTCAATTAAGAGTTATTCTTTTTAATCTGATAGTTTTTCATTTTTGTTTTGAAGGTTGTTTTAGAAATTAAAAGAATATAATTATACATGTTTGGTTCTATAATTATAATGGGAAGAGTACAAAAGTTTGAAAATATTTTCCAATAAGACAAACCAGCAACCTATGTCATGTTCATGATTTGATTCATGCAACGACCTATACCACAAAAATTTCCACGAGATTGTACTATTACTATTATTGTTATTATTGTAGTAGCGTTGTTATTGTTGATAATATATCATATCATATCTTTTGAATGTTTTGAAATCCTTGAAATTTTTCAATTTTGTGTACCATGGTTCAACTTTCTTAATTTGGTGGGGAGAAGATTCAAACCTTTGAATCGCACCAAACAATAGTTAGAGTAAACGAGCAGAAGAAAAGCTAAAGTGGGTTGGTAAATGCAGAAAATATATCTTTTGCTTTGTTTTGCCTTTTCTAATC